GTCTATACTCTAATAAAAAGTTCCCCAGGCCAAAGAGGTCACCTTAATACCAAAAAAAAAAAAAAAAAAAAAAAAAATATCAATTTATAGAATGGTTAGCAAAGTGAAATATATTGTTTAACTAAGTTGACTAGTTATTATTAGCAAATTTTTTTTTTTTTATAATATATAAATCATTCTTAAAGCATAGTTATAAGTCGGGTTATGCTTCAAACACTTTCATATTACCTGACATATTATCTGACATATTATCTGTTTCCTTGTTCATTAGCTCTATCATAATTATAATAATAATAAAATTGGTATTTTATTTATTTTTTTTTTGAGTCAAAAGAACAATAAGACTTCTTACCTGTTTTTTTAAGAATTGGTATTGTCCAAGCATTCTTGGGTTTAGATGACTCAGAAAATATTGGAGATAGTTTGTTATAAAAGGTAGCGATCTGCTCAGGACAAAACTTAGTCCACACACCTATATGAGGAAGTGAACGAGCATGAAGGTATCCTGCAAATTGACCCGTTACAGGCCAGGACCACTCAAACTATTTAGAAATACTAGGTATAGTTTTGATTTTTTTTTTGCTAATGTCAGCTCCTAATTGGTGACTATGTTATAATTGCACAAATATTTGAGATCATTGATACTAGTTAGATTAGGATATTTGACATGTCGAATAGTATGTTTTTTTTAATTTTTATCTGAACTTACTTCAATAATTCAGAACTTATTTCTATATTGTCTTGATCCATCAATTTCCTTACTGATTTATTACAATTAGGCTCTATATGTACTACAGATGTTCCGCTTAGATTTTGAAGTGCGGTTTCAATATTTGTTCCATCAGTAAGATCACATCCAATTCTTATATATCTTTTAATTGCATGTGCGATCTATAATTAACATCAAAATTTATTAGTAGTAGTGTTTCGCAATAAGCCGGCTCACAAGAATTATAGTTCAGCTTATTTTTGGCTCACTAGGTTCGCAAGTCCAGTGGTATAATCCACTAGACTGCGAGCATTGTGAGTCATAAATGAGCTAAACTATAATTCCTGTAAGCCTATTTAAGTTGGCTTATTGCAAAATATATATATATATATAACTCAAAATCTACTTGCCACAGTATGGTGAGAATCAATAGTGGTTTTTGCCTCTCCTGGCTCAAGAAAAACCCATCCACATACTTCTATATTATACCAGCTATACCAGTGACTAATAATCGCCATTAATTCTGAATTATAATAGTGATCTCCATTGTCTGAAATGATTTTAATCCAATGTGGTTTGGGATTCATTGTCATAAATACTGCCTCAAAACACGAAGCTGTAAACCAAGCATCTTGCTTAGTATCAGAACTCCAATGATCATAAGCCTGAATATCCAAAATTTCATCATTATCTTCATCTTTTTGAAACACCAAAGTTGTATGGAGCGTCTATCCACGTTTTCCAAAGAATTGACTTTTTGTTTCCCGAGCTGTTGCAGGTAAAATTCGCATTTTATAGTCAACTATAATAATAGCCCCATTATTGTCTAACTCACATAGTGTGGAATTAAATTGGGTATTTAGATATTTTTTACAAGTCTGATATGCCAAATAATATATCAATTGGTTTTTACATTCTAAAAGTGTAGTATGGTAGGTAGTATCAAGTTTATTTTAAAATCTTCAAACATATTGAACAATCTGTCACACTCTTGACACTGAGAAAAATGCTGATATTTACATTCACTGAAAGCAAACAATAAACAATGATTTATACAATCTACATAATTAGTTGTACCATTCTCATTGACAGCTAATTCATTTTCATAATATTGTTTTATATGACGACGTAATATTTCGATTTCATGAATATAATGGTTCTACAAAAATTATATATTAATAGGATCATAAGTAATAATTATATTCTGGGTAGTTGGATATAAGCAAAATTTTGCAGTAAAGTATAATCGGCTATGTAAATGGCCGATTATACTTCACTGCAAAATTTTGCTTATATCAACTACTCAGATTTATCCGTCATCCATGTAATATATCTTTCATGTACTTATTTTAGAGCAAAATCTTTATAGATTATTTTTAATATTTGAGATTAACTAGGATAATACAATACTTATACACAATCACCTAAATTAGTAGATATGTATGGTAGAAATAAATACATGAAAAAGGTTATGAAGATGAGATTGGCCAGAGAAGTAATAAAAATTTTTTATTTAACTGACCTGTGAAATTTTACTAGTGAAGTTTTTTTTAATTATTTCAATTAAATTTTCGAATAGTTGATATCCATAATCATTACACATTAGGCACAACCCTCCTAAATCTTCTCGATATTGAAAACGGCTATTTTGCAAGCGAGCTATGAAAAAAGTACGCCTCATTCCATCAGGATACATGGCAGAAAACTTCTCCCAAAGTTCGCTTTTTTGATTTTTTAAATAAAGAACAGGTAAGTGTGTTTCTTCATCAACTTTGTATGAGCTCATATTCACATTGTCTTTATCACTAAAAAATAATTCAAACTCTCTTTCTTTAATCTCAGACATTTTTTGATGAGTAATCACGGGTTTCTCTAACGAAATACAACCAGGACCATTGATACGAGAAAACTGCTGTGCCGCATTGATAGTATTAGGCGATATCTATGTTATGTATAATTTATTTAATACTATTACAGTTTATAATTTTATTGATCATATAAAACATACATTTAACCTATCTATAATTTCCTGATACGTAAACCTTTCTGCAATTATTGATAGTATGCGCACTTTACCGTTCGTTCCCTTCAAATTTGCATTGTAACTATCCCGGAAGCAGTCCCAAAATGCTTTGATAGTTAAAGCTTGTGGCGATATATTTAAAATTCCGTCTTCATATAGGGTCTTGAGTATATCGCGGTCTTTATCAGGATCAGATGCGTTTGTCCAATATTCATTCTATATTTATTTTTGTTAGCTTATTAATACTTTGACTTATATGAATTTTATATAATATATAAATAGTTCTGCGAAATTATGTAAGTATTGTTAGAAGAAAATTTTAATCAGGATTTTAAATTTATAATTTTTCGGATTTTATTTCGATTACGGTAGTAATACGAAATCAGATAAGTCCAATAAATTATAAATCTAAAAGCCTGAGGTCTGATTTTCTTCTAATGATGCTTATATAAATACGATCAAGAAATATTG